AGACCGTAGAGGTGTTCCTTGACTGCATCCACGACTGCTTCTGACAAACCAGATTGCTATGGACTGGAAACACGTCGACCGGATTCACTCGGGTGGACGAGGGTCAGCTCTTGGTAAGTTCGAGTTTGTTTGTTTCGGGTTTTCGCTGCTGTTGAGAGACAACATTTTCTTTAGGCCCTCAGTGAAACAATGAGCAGAACATAAACGCATTCAAGTTCCAACTGCGTTAATTGAGGTTTGTACTGTGAAGACCTGCTTGTCCGGCAGATGGGTGGTAGGGGGCATTGCTCTCTGGCTGTAATTGCTTCCTTCCTATACAGTAACGTTCTCTGCCCTTTGTATCTATGCATTGAATAATGATTTTAAAATATGTTTTTGATGATTTTTGTCAGTTTTTCCTAGTATCAACCACACCCTTCACAGGACTTTTTGGTAGACGTTGATGCACAAATCCGACCCCAAGCCAGAATTACCTAAAAGTTTTGAGAGAGAGGATAGGAAGTATCTATCTATCTATCTATCTATCTATCTATCTATCTATCTATCTATCTATCTATCTATCTATCTATCTATCTATCTATCTAAATCCATATGCAAAAATTGATTCCCTCTGTTAAAAAGATTATTTTATACCATCAATATAGATTGTTAATATTCTGCACATTTTGACCAACTGGCTATTTTGGGACTGGAAATCTGATAAAACTGAGTAATTATTAATCATAATCATCTTCAAGCACCACTACTGCTCAGCAACACTGTAGTTATCGCAACCAACAACGCTGTTTTATTTCATCTTTGAGGCACACAAAACGTATAGTATAAGGAAAAATAAAAACGTTAATGCAGAACACAAAGATGTTTTTGCTTGCCTTATTTGAGGAAATGCGCATATAACATCTGCATACTTAAAGTGAAGTGTGAGAGCGAGTGGGAGATAGACAGAATTCGATAGACAATGAAGGAGAGAGAGGGACTGAAGAAAAATGTCTTCGCTCCTGGTTCACCGTGAGGTCAGCGGCGGCAGGAAGATGAATGTGCACACGCCGTAAACCACCAGCAGAGCTCGCTTTTGGCCAAGTTCAGTGTCACCCGCATTTGCGCTCCTTCTCCCTATAAGGATAGAAAAGACAGAAAGAAAAAGAATAATAACTCCCGCATACACCTTTAATTGCAGGGACTCTCGGTAGAATATAAATGGTTTACAAATCTGGATGCAGCTTGGATATCAGCAGAACGAAATTGATGGCTACAGCAGGCCAAGCTGTCTGGAGATATAAAGGTTGTTTGATGACATATTAATAGTTTTGGCCTAATATTAGTGGTCATGATAAATGGCAGTTATAAAAGATGTATGGGGAAAACAATAGCTTAGAAAAGAATGAAAGAGAGAAAAATTGAGAAAGAACGTTGGTGAGCTCGAAGGCTTGTTTGTGTCCATCTGTTTATTTGTGCTTGTTTGTCTGAGAGAGAGTTTTATATCGTAAAGGTAGGGGGAGGGCCGGGGTCAAAAGTTTACAGCAGAACAAGTAGCTGTCATCTGTTCTTGTAGAGCGCAGTGCCACTTTTATAATGGCACAAAAGATGGAATAGCTGTGAATCCCGTGAGTTCAGGTCTAACCTCGCGATGAACTCTGCAAGCTGGGTGACCCTGGGTTAGCATCCCAAGAGACTACCTCCTCCGCCTGTGCCAGAGATTGAGTATTCAGGTTTTATTAAGGGGTTTGATTGGTGAATTTCCTTTGAATAAATCCCATTTGATGACCATAAGTTCGACAGGACATTTGCATTTAGGATTGATAATATTTCCGCAATGAACATTTCTTTGTTTGCATAGTTCTGAAGAGTAGTTTTTTCATGTTTTAGCATCTTGAAAATTAAACATTCGTTAATTTTAACAGAAGAAAATAAAAGACAACAGAAAAGAAAAAAACAATAAAAGGAGAATATGCTGTTAGCATTATTTACCGGTAAATCAGGACTAAACGAAGCCGAGACGTTATTGAGACGGTTTGTAGTAAAATGATTTGAAATTGTCTTACAAATAATTTTATGTAATAGCCTACTCATCAACTTTTGGACAAATCTCGTTTTAGACAAGCGAAGAATCATCGAATATATATAAATTCTCTCTATTTTATTTATTTATTTATTTATTTATTGTGAATACTCAAATTGTTTGAATAATAAATATTCAAATTGACATATTTTTATTGGATATCCTAACTGTTTATTTCTGTTTAAAATTCATTTTTATTTTTTGAAAGAATGCATAGGCCTACATTTTGTAAAAATATCTACTTTTCCGAAAAAAAAATCATAATTTTGCAATACAGAAAAGTTAGACAACAAATGCAATTATAAAAAGATCTGAATGTCACACATTTGTGTCGACAAAATTTGTTCAATGTAAGTCATTTCGAAAAATTGTCTCCAATGTTGTATATTCGTTTAATTCACGGGTTTACAGAAAACGCGATGGCTTAATATGGCCGTATTGCTTTTCATAAGAGATAGGAGATCTTATACTGGGAAACACAACTGCTGTAGGCTATCTCTGTAAGTATAAGATTTTGAGTCAAAAGTCCAATTACAGAAATGCTTGCGTTTTGAAATGATTTTGATTTTATATGTTGGTTTCAGCCAAAAGCAGTTCAAATGAACAGTAAACTGGAATATTTATCTTAAAATTACATCCTCAAATTAAAGTGAAATATCATTGTATTTTGTAAAAGCAGTTGGGTCAATATAACACAATAAGACTACACTAGGTTAAATTAAACTTAAGCAAGTTATTTAGTAAAAGCAGGTTTTCATAACAAGGGTATTTAAAAAAAACAGGTCGGTGGTGCAGGTTGCCCCGTATGTTTTAAGTTGTGTAATCAGATTGATTTTATACAATCTGCTGGCGAAATGTAGCCTATGTTACCTTTTACATTTTTCGTGTTGCATTTAACATTTGGTTTAATGTTTAAGGCTCTTTATAGCCAATTTATTGGCAGTGTCTCATTCTCATTTTCTCTCATTCAAATGACTTTCAATATCCTGAGTAATATACGTGGAATAAAAATGTGACAGCTAGCACCGGTGCACCTAGCACCGGTGACTTTTAAGATGCGAGTTTTAAATATATATATAATAAGAGTTTTCTTTCATCTGATCCTTTGATTAATTGTTAGTTTTACTTGTCTTAAATATGTAAATATTGCAGCGTGTTTAATTTTAGCCCTCCAGTTTTGTACACAAAGGAGAGAGAAGTAGGCCTATATAATGAATAACAGACGACATGGTATCATTTTTTTATGGGCCTCAGAAAACTAAAGCCTTGGCTTGTTTTAAACCCGTACGGTTAAAAGACAGCAATTTTAATTGATCGATAAGTTAAATCCAATAATTAAACAACATTCTAATTAGCTATATTATTATTATTAGTAGTGGTGGTAATAGTAGTAGTAGTAATAAATATGTTGTTATAATAAAATGAATAATGAATTTGTCATACCATATACCTTCTATATATATATATATATATATATATATATATACATATTTTTTCCCCCCCCTCATTTGTAAGTCGCTCTGTTCCCTGATGGGATAAACGAAGTCCAAGGCCGGGGTAAACGCAAGGTCACTGCGTCTAACAAATATGAAAATTTCACCTTTTCAGAGGGCACGCCTTGTTGTTTAACAAAGACTGTCAGTGAACAAGATTAATAAGAGGCGAAATGGACACTGAGTCACTGAGAGGTCAAACTGAAGTTATCTCTGTGTAGCTATTAAAGAAAGGTAGCCAGAGCGGTTCTGAAGCTGTGGAACCGCATGAGGCTCACATAGTTTAATACTAACTTGAAGCTCGCGTGGATACAGGAGTTTTCAGTTCAGGGTGGCTGTTGATTCACTACATGGAAATGTTAAGGATAAAGAAACATTACGTGGGAACTACCTGTCGCGCAAACGATGTGTCATTATTTTGGTTTATCTGGTCATGGCATATAAGCTTCAGGGTCAGGGATAATATTTTGCTCACGACCTTACACACGGTAGGCCTTCTGAGTTATATTTTAGTGTTTATATAAAAACTGCTATTTAACAAGTCTAAAGGGAATATGGTAACGTTATGGAATTGAGTCTGTCTGTGTTGTGCATTTCCCAGAAAACGAGAAATGGTTGAAAAAGTGTATTGGCTTTACATTGTTTTTAAAATGCATGTTTCATAGAGATATTTCAAGATCATAAACATGACATTGCAGTCTTTATTATAATGGATCTAAATCATTTTCATTACCATCTAAGCACTATCAATACGGATATAATTGAATAAACAGTGCCATGTATTGCAGTAAACTAAAAAAATAAAGCCAACTGCAATAAACAATTAGGGGTTGCCTGCAGACCACATATGATAATTCAATACGTCCAGAATACAAATTCTGAGTTGGTTTTGGTCTACTCTTGTTAGAGTAGAAGACGAAATACAATGGATCTAAGCCACTGTGCAATACATGAAAGGTGACAAGCTGTCCGGTTCAGTTTAACTTGACAGTTAAAAAATATAAAAAGTAAAAGCCAACACATTTCATTATGGAGCTTCTATGAGACAATAAGGAAAGCCACGTTTCTTTATTTAGACACTTAGACATTACAATTTATGTATTTTGCTTTTGCTGAAGACATGTGAGATTTTTCTTACTAATTCAGTAATAATAATAATTCAAAAGATACAAATCGAAAGATGCAAATGTGTGCAACTAAAAGGCTCATGTAGCATCCTCTCGTTGTTCTTGACTACACACGCTTGGGTCACTTTAATGTCGAGCAAATCGTCTAACTGATGGTCTTTCCTAATATTTCTTTGACGATGCCAGTGGTGGGGAACCCCCAAAACTAAGTCTGTTCATTGGGTTTGTTACATTAGTTACAAAAAAAATTATTGGTTGATGTGGTTGCTGGCTTGAAAGTAGGCTTTGTGCTATTCATTAACAGGTGCAGTCACTGAGTTTACTGATATAGTTGCTTTTGTTAAAGTGGTCGTGGGCCTTATTGGAGGTTCTTTTGAGGAACCTATAGAAATTTTAAAGTCCCTGAAGGGTACAAAACTGCAGGTCGTGGTACACAAACAAACGAGATATTTTGTACATTTATCATGAGAAAGAGCATTAACACTGGAAGGGGATGCTTTCGTGATAAATTACGTTCTCTATTGCACTCAATTGTTTTTCACTGTATATAATGCATTTTAGCATACATCTTGTACATTCAGTCAGCTGTTTCGTTTTCCATGCGATGCATATGGTAACTACATCGAATTAATTTCAGATATATTTTGATTCGATAACAAAAACAGACGCATTGACCGCTCGAACACATTTTTGCTGTGCTGATGCCTGGCCTGCTATTGGTGCTTGTTTACACGATGCCCACAGGAGGCGCTGATTGGTCGCATTTCTCACGTGACCGACCAACTTTGTACATTTGACAGAGGAGTAGGTGGGTTTTGGAGAGATCAGAAAAACGACAGCACGATAAAAATTAGAATTGTTGCACTTTTCAAATTAATGATCATGAGTTCCTACTTGATCAATTCAAATTACATCGAACCTTCTTTCCCACCCTGCGAGGAATATCAGCAGAATGGATACATGCCCGTGTCCTCTGATTATTATGAGCGGCCGAAAGACGCGGGCTTCCCCCATCACGAGGAGGCATCATTCCCGCGATCAAACTACCAAGAGCCGAGCTATGATTACGGTAATGTGTCAACCAACGGCCTCAACGATTTCACCGACCGTCATCACGCGCAACCTCAATCCGTTCCGCAGAATCATGGATCCCGCCTCACCACAGAGAGCTGTGCTGGTTCAGCTGCGAACAAGGATTGCAGCCTCGTGTCAGAGGCTCTCCCAGGCGCACAGAAGGGTAAAGAGCCGGTGGTGTATCCCTGGATGAAAAAAGTCCATGTTAATACCGGTAAGTAATGTGCACGGGCAATAAAAGCTAGGAGCCCTGTGGAGGGCGTTCGTCGTAAGGCATGTGGTGAACATACCCTGTTGTAATTGCTCATTTAGAGGATTTACAGCCATCGAGATGAAGTCCCGGTGATTACGAGTTCTCGCAAATTTTATTTCCCTCGTGTTCCACCCTGCCCATTTGCGTTTGTGTCTTATGACTCAAAGGAAAGTTTTTCGCTTACCAAGTTAGCACCAAACAGGCCCTTTCATTTAGTTATTTTCTATTTTGCAGTGCTACCAAACTAGTTACATCAATAGGCTACTGCGTGTGAATGGAATGCTGTCGTCGGAGAACGACGCATATCCATTGTTTCATACTCTAGTCATTTAGTACTCTTCAAAATGTTTAGTAAGTGTACTAATTATCCGACATCTCACCAATACCTGAGAATGTCAATAACACCTGCTTGGTTATGTGTTTGTGTGTTTAGTGACCGCCAGCTACTCTGGAGGAGTGCCCAAGAGGTCTCGCACCGCCTACACGCGCCAGCAGGCTCTTGAGCTTGAGAAAGAGTTCCACTTTAACCGATATCTGACTCGACGTCGACGAGTGGAGATAGCGCACACTATGTGTCTTTCTGAGCGTCAGGTGAAAATCTGGTTTCAGAACCGCCGCATGAAATGGAAGAAAGACCACAAGCTGCCTAATACAAAGATCCGCTCCTCGAGCTCTGCGCCCTCCAATCATCACGTGAAAACGGACGCCACTCAGCAGCAGCAAACACTGCTTCCTACGCCTTGTTCCTCGAACCTATAGTGCTAGAAGCAAATCGGCACAAACGGAACTGAAGAAGAAGGAAGAACACATAGCAGTATTAGGATCGGAACTTCACAGGGTTACTTTTTATTCAGTGTCCGATGAGGCAACTTAACCTCGCCTTCCCAACCTCTTCCTCCACTCTAATTTGAGCTGGAAATCACATCCTTCCTGTAAAATAGTTTCTCTCTCTCTCTCTTAAAGGAACAATAGTAGAATGTACTTTAACTTGGACGATGGATCGTTACGTTTTCTGTCTTTAACCGAGACATACCGAGTTTGTGAAGATCTGCGCTAGTTACGTGTGTACAAATTGACATTTTAACTTGAAGGCACAAGTATAGGAACAATCTTCCTGGAGTAGTTATCTTATTTGTCTTAGTCCCATATTTTAGAGTATTGTTAAGTGTATTTACGTGATCAAAGCTGTGAATATTCGTGTATTTGGTTATTTGTATATTGGTGAATGATGTCAAGTTGTTTTAGTAAGCCTGTGCAAGTAATTGTAGGCTTCCCGTGAAAATAATAAAAATGACTTTATTGTGTATTATCTATTTAGTTTAATCCACAGGACTAATGTAGGCTGTGTAATTTAGCATGTTAGAACCATGTTACTGTTTTATTCCAACGTAAGCTATATTGATTACTAATAACAAAACTTTAAATAGTCGATGTTAAACTAAAAGCTTGCCTCCGAAGTTTTTATTACGTAAATTGTCAATGCTATGTAGGCCAATGGTTTAGGTTTGCTTATTTTTATTTTTTAAGGTATTATAACATAGCCTTAAAAAACGGTTCACTTCACAAACCAAGTTATATTGCCCTCAGTCTTGTGACGTTTAGTTTTTTATTTATTCCATTTGGTTATCCTTGTGGTAAAATAATTCAAACGCGCATATAGCGGTTATATATTGTTCCTTTAAGCTGAACTTTTTTACGATACAGCGTTACAAAATGCCTGATATTTCGCTGAAATATTACATATTTAACTTAAATACAGCAGTATTTATTTCTAAATAACCAAACTGATAACAAAATCACATACATTGATATTAAACACTTTGAGCCATTCTTGAAATTATAATAATTTCAGTACAAACAGATCTCGTTTGCGCCACCCAGTCTTCTTTGTTTGTTTTCTCAGGACAATCTATACTTAGTTGAATTTACGTCCATTGTAAATGTAATCTAAACTGTATCTATTTCTTTTGCGCAGTACCTTTCCAAAATCAAAATATAGGCTATTTAAATAACAAATACCATTAACTATTTCCCCAATATAAGTCTATTGAAATAAATTAGAGACGGACAGTAGGCTACTTAGTAGTGTAAACTAGTGTTGGGGTCAAGCAGAGGACACAAACGAGCTGTCCAATCATCAAATTGAAGCACTGTGTACGACCCCTTAACCTCTGACCTCGCCATATTCAGCACCCTCCAGACCATGGTCTATTTATTCCTCGAACGCATGGGGCAGTAGTGGAACTTGAATAAGGCCTATTATTTTAAAATAAGACCAAAACCGTACTCTGTTTATGCATAACTAACTTTACACGACTAATTTCACATAAAATATAAATTAAATGTTCAAATCGGCTAAATTATTTGCAATTCAACGACTCTTTTCAAAACGCATCTAAATTATTTATTATACAAAACATCAGCTGTGAAATTGACTATTTAAACGGATATAATGGTCGATAATAATGTAAGGATGCCAATTTAGTAATCTAAAGTGCACTAATATTTTTGTTTGCGTACATTTAGACTAACTTTCACCAAGAATAGCATTGCTCAGAGACAACAATAGCATTGGATCTTAAAGAGTATCTGGTCTGTTTACGACTTTGTGGAATTTGAAATCAGTTTTGGTGACCATTTTTTAAATATCCAGATTTCGAGAGAAAAAACTTAAACTGCAGCCTCTAAGATAGTCACAGTCATTATTGATTCAGATCTTGACAGACAGGAAATTTAAACTTCCATCATGACACCAGCACCTCACCTCTCAATCTACCATGCTTAAATTTTAATTGACTGGCTCACATGACCATATTAAATAATAGATACCTCTTGGTTAGAAATAGATACAGGAGGTTCGGTCGGATTTTTCATTTTGCAGTTGACCGTCGACTTAGAGAGACTTCTCAGAACCGACCAGCTGCTACTCTTCCGGTCAGTCTTCAAAAAGAGGGTTTGGAGTAAGTAGAAGTTTTTTAAAATCTAAAAATGTGGATGTTAGATATAGAAAACTATCTAGCACGTGTTCGAAGTACAAGTTATATACAGATGTTGTTTGTATTGAAGTGAACCCGTTTTCTCATTACGCTATCCAACAATTTAATAGTAGGGAATTTTCTCTGAATAATTAAGATTTTTTAAGTGTCAGTAAATGTCAGTTTATATACAAACGTTAAATATAGTGAATTACTGTAGCCTACTTTTAGATGTATGTACTGTGGTTATGTAGGCTACTTTTCGACTCTTGAAAATCTCAATTGTAAGGCAATTGTAAATAACAAGTAGTAGCCTAGTAGTAATAATAAAAACAATAACAATAATATGTTCTAGATTTTCATAAGCTACTAAATCTCTTTACTATGTAGGCTATGTCAGTCACCTGTTTCTATCATTATCAAAACACAGGCTACAAACAAGAAGATTTTTAACTTCTATTTTTATTTCATTCGCATTCAACAAACGTTATCCGAACTCATGGGCAGAACTGTTAAACAGTCAAAGATCATTGCCGTTCCACTGGCATCATCGTCAAATTTAGTTGAGTTGTAGCCTACATCATTATTAGCTTTGATGATGACCACGGTAAATCCAAGGAAAAGAATTATCTTCGTCTGCGTGTTGTAGTAATCTTAGCTTGCTTCAAGAGCTCCAAATGTCAGCATGGAGAACAGATTTGTTCTGTCCCCCGGCGAAACTCCACGAACCATTTAGATTGAAAATACAGCCCTGTCTGTAGGCTTCTTGAAAAGCAGCAGGCCACTTTAGGAAATAAAAACGAAATGGTTGAAATACGTTTATGCTGGTCTGCAGTCACTAATGTAATGACAATTAATTAAATAAAAAATAAGTGATGTTATCAAAATTACATAAAAAGACGGGGATTAGCTTTGCACCCGTTATGCACTGTCCTGGTCCCGAATACTGTATAAAAGCGTTCTTAATGAACTTTGTGATCGGGTCAGTGGGAAGTTTAGGATGCATGCTGAAATGTATGAGAAGCAAACACACAGACCCTAGGGACTCAAGGCGGGTTCGCGTTGCGTCTCGCAACACCCCAGGGCTGTTTCTAGTTATAGCAGGCAGGTGAATACTCTAACAAAAAGGTCTAAACAGCACAAACAAGTCTGACTAAAGAGGTTTTTTAAACATGTTTACTCTTTTAAATATTTGACTTTCATAAGTCACACTTGATAAAGCACATAGCACATCACAGTAACCACGTCAAAATGAAGATGTATAATGCGTCGCCTTGGCACAAAAAGCGGGCAACGCTAGCCTCTGTCCAAGAGTTCTTTGCATGAGTATGGAAATAAAATAATAACATAGTCCATCTCATGTTAAAATCTGAAAAAAAGTTTGTACTCCTTCAAATTGCGGCTTTGGAGAGAACAAAGCATTGGTGTAAGGGGGAGAAGCGGTCCCTGGCTGATGTGATTAATTATCTACAGGGCTTCACCACGTCTGTTGGATGAGCTTTCAGCCTAAACACTCTGCTGCCGGAAAACAAGCACCAAATGGTGGTAAAGAGAAGGCCCCTTTCGGGACGGGTCTTCTTTCTTTTGTTTGTTGAGGTAGACTTGATAGATCACTGCTCTATAAATATGTCAGAACTGTAGCTTCAGCTCCTGTGACTCTTGTAACTAAACTGTAGCTTCTACACATACAATGTTACATATGCGGGCTCAATATGCACATTCATAATTTTCAGTACTGCAGTGTTAACACGAGCAAATTCTAAGGTCAAAAAGATCATATGCATGGTAGGTCCACTGAGAACTTCCATTGAGTCTCGTTTGACTGATACACCGTAATCACCGAGAGAGGGCCACCTTGCACACACGAGTTCTTTAAAGGTATTCAGTAACAGTGATTTATTAGATTTTGATGTATATAGTTGGTTGCAAGTATTTGTATGGAATATTTCTAAGAGATAATGCTAGATGGGGGGGGGGGGATCAAGGAAATTCAGATTTTTATTTTTTGTATTAATAAA